TGTGATGTGAGACGAGAACGCTAAGGTCCAAACGAAGATATCATAGGACGACACGGAGTGGTATAAAGAAACGAGACTGGTGAAAGATTTACGAATTGATGTCACTTCAAGAAAATGGTCATGGATGGCACAATATTGCCCCCTGAAAACGTACACAAAGCTATATGGGTTTCTCCTGACCACACTGCAGAGAACCAGATTGATCGTTCTTGAACCGCGAACAAATTTAGAAGGTCAGTGGGAGACGCGAGAACCAGGAGAGATGACATAGTTCCAAATCATTACCTGGTGGTTACTAAGATGAAACCGAAGCTAAAGAAGCATTAAACAACTGGACAAACAACATTAAACAGTATCAATACAGGCTTTCTTCAACGTTTTGATAAACTCAACCGATTCAAGATAACTTTTGACAAAAGGTTCCAAGCCTTACAGGATCCACTGAAAGAAGGAACTACAGTGGAAGACAACTAGAAAGGAATCAAACAAGCACTAATTTCAACATGTCAGGAGGTGCTGGGCCGCTTGTAGCCTCGTCATAAGGAATGGATCTTTATGGGAACCCTAGACAAGATCCAAGAAAAGGAAGAACAAGCAGACGGCAATTAACAATAGCCGAACAAGAGCAGAGAAATATAAGGCACAAGCTGAATACACAGAAGTAAACGAGCAAATGAAGAAGAGCATTGGAGCCAACAATCAGAAATACGTGGAAAAACTAGCAACGTTTGCAGAAAAGCTGCAGGAGAAGGAAATATCAGACAATCATTTAATACAGTGAAGAAACTAGCACGGAAATATAATAAACCAAAGAGACCGGCCAAGGATAAAGAAGGCAAGCCAATCATTGGGATTTTATCATTTCAATTATAATCAATTTGCCATATAGCTCGACAACAACCCAATCCCATTGATGATAACGGATACATTTGAATTTCACAGGTCAATATTTCTCATCAAAACATTACGAACATCTTGAAGTAAGTCATTATTGAGTTGATTATTGCAGATTTCTTCATGAATGCGCAACGACTAAGGAACTTAATTGTAAGACGAATTATCTGTTTATTGTTTCTTTGTTTTTAAAAATACCTCAACTAAGCTCAACTTTTAACGAATACAACTAACAAGTCCACATAATCTCTTCAACTAAATTATGAATTGACTAAAGTTTAAAAGATGAAATATTAAAATTTGACCCAACCAGTTTATACGAATGGTCTGACCCAAATCAAGAATATACACTTTAGTGTCCTAAAGTAATAATTAGATTCTCAGTCATTACTATGTATGATTTCTAGTGTATTTCAGGCATAATCTATGCTGAGCTGTAAATAACCTTAATATAATAATAGAATTCACTGAATTTGACGTGATTATTACATAGAAATGAAGTATTGTATATCGAATATAAATTTATTTAATTAATTTAGAATCAAAAGGGGTTTTGTTGATTTTATAGTAATTTTAGTAGTTCATATTGAATCAATTGAAGCTAGACCATCATGCAAAAACCTGGATGCTGTTTCGTCCTACTATGGTACTACTCAACAGTGCACATCCACGATCTCCACTAAAATAATCAAGAGAAATAATAGACACATATCTCAGTCGTATTCAAGATTTCCCATCATTGTATATCTTGTCAAGGGTTGAAGATATAGGATAAGAACTGTGAACATTCAATCGAAGTTAATTAATGTTGCTAAAAATAATAATTTACTCACTATAAAGCTTGGGTATATGGTTATATTGAATTTCATCGCTCCTTCATTCCTGTTATCATTACAATTACTCTCTTTAATTTGATCTTCTCAACTTTCTACTATCGACATAAGTAGCATATACCATATGTACGATTTAGGGTAGATTAAGACAACGCTTTTCAGATACCTTGGAGCTTAACTTATTTTTCAATTATTATTATTCAGCTTACGAAAATGTATGTATGAAATACATTTGTTAAACTGAATGTAAAATACTTTGTTTCTTTAAAAAAAATATAAATTGGCATTAAGTTGAGAACAAACTGAGAGAATTTTTTCATTACCCAATGTGTATTGTTTAGTAATGTTCGTCATAAAACTACACCATACATATGGACAACCATTCATGACCCAAATATTGACAGCAAGGTTTTTAAAAAAAGCCAATTACAACTTCATAGGAGATAAACAAAGATGAATAAAGCCTAGCAGTGGAATCCAGGACGCGCGTTCCCTCCTAATTGAGACTCGTCAGCTGGATTTACCTGCATCTCTGGGACTCGAACCTAGTACCGTTCGCTTCAAACGCAATAGCGTTATCTACTTAGGGCGAAACGTGCGTCTTAGATTCCACTGCTAGGCTTTATTCATCTTTGCTTATAATGCTTGTGAACTAAGGTAATATCGAAGCAATACTCACTGGGTGCACAGTTGTCAATAAGAGATTGATCAATTGCAGTTCTAAACATCAACAGGAAGATTCAAGTAAACAATACCAAATGAATTCATAGAAGATAACTGATAAGAAAAATATCTATCCTCCCATTTTAAAGTATAAACCAACTATAGTTTGAAAGTGTGGTTACACAATATGCGTATTTATTTTAAAGTAGATTTTAGTCGAAACCTTAGTCGCTTGTTTGAATTTAAAACTGTCATCTAAACTATGTAGCTACGTAAGCACTCTTGGATCGTATAAATGATTAAAACAATCATGGAAAACATTTGTGTTATCGATTTCGTCATATTATTTCCATTACGGCTTTTATTACTGACAAAGTGTTTATATTGATGTAGGTATAAGAAAGGTTCGGGATATCAGCTTATTACTCTAAGGCACTGTTCCGTTGATGAAAATTTCTATTTGTTTTTAAAGAGTCTAAACATAAAACTGATCTGTATAGGGTTGTGGAGATTGTTGAGGTTTTATTGATATCATAAACCAATCAATGTTAGACTACTAATGCAAATCTAGAAGTACTGAATGATCGTCTCGTCCTAGTATAGGACCCACGAACCCACAAACAAGACTCGAACCCAGTACCTTAGGTCCCGCTCACAAAAGCTTAACCCCTAGACCACTGAGAAGCTGTGACTGGTGGATATCAACCGTTTCAGTTGTGATGCAGTTACTCACAGAATATACTAGAGGATGGTCGCGTAGAACTGATCATTATCGTCTTCCTTGTTATTATTGGTGGGTGAATGGCACTGGATAACATTCATTGTGATAACCTTCTTTTTGTTTTGAAGGATGCTTTGATGATTCTGGACCCATTAGATTTCCATCTTACAGGTGCTTGACGTGCTTCTCTGTACAGCATCAGAGCATCTACCTGAGTCTGAAGAACACTTTCTTCTTCGTGACCAGAGTATAACATTATCTCTGTCGAATCTAATTTTTTCTGTCACTTCTTTTGAGAACCGTCAAGTTGTATCTCCTCATTTCCGAATCTGTTCGGTTGGTCCTGCTAGTGTTCCATATTGTCCGAATATTCTATATGCCTATATTAATTATTTCTCTTGTTGTTAGAAGGGGCATCAGCCTCATGACTTCCGAAGAATCTCGACTTTCATTATGAGCCATCATAATTTTTCCTTGAACTCGGAGGGAAGAGTCTAAATGGTTCAATTTTCTCTTATTTAATGTTTTCTTTTTTAAGTAAACTTGTTTTCTACGAGATGGAGTTCCTGACGCCATACTCAATCTTTCTCTCTCACCTGGGCTTGGGACCGGTTATAACCTTAGAAGAGCTACAAGTGGAGTTTACTTTTAGCAAACAGATATTTCCACCAAATCAATATTATTACCTATAACGACGTGATCATTATTTCATATTAATAATTAATTCAAATGAACACAGTTTATATGATCATATAACTGATTTGTTAAATAAAGTATTTATCCAATCGAACCATGTACATGTAAGTTATTGTAAGATAAAACTTCATTATCTAAATTCGAGTTCAAATAGAATAGAATTCAAACTTCAGATTTAATAGATAATATCATTAAATGTTTATCAATGTTCAATCTTATCTATCAAAGAAATAATGAAAACAAAACAAACACATTATACATGGCAATGATTACAATAAGACAATTATTACGTAACGCTATTATTTCATCTACTATAAATGTTTATTTGATATAATAAAATAAATTATTAATTAAACTGATGATAATTTCAAATGGTCAAGATCATGGGTCAGTTGAAGCTAAACCACCATGGGAAACCTGGAAGCAATGAACGGCCGTTTTTATTCCTATTGTGGGACTCCTCAGCAGTGCACATCCATGAACTTGCCCCCTGCGAGATTCGAACCCAGGCACTTAAACACCAAACCACTAAGGTCCTGGGTTCGGGTGTCGCAGGGGGCGAGATCATGGATGCGCAATGCTGACGAGTCTCACAATAGGAATAAAAACGGCCGTCCAATGCTTCCAGGTTTTCCATGATGGTCTAGCTTCAACTGACTCATGATCTTAACCATTGAAATGACTACAATCTCCACAAAACCCATCTGATATTAAATTGATAATATTTAACCATAAAAAGAGAAAATTATTAATATACAATAAGAACAATGTATTTGTAACAAAAATGTACATAGATACATGTATAATCATTTGTATGAATGTGCAGGTCTGTGTGTGTGTGTGTGCTTATATAAAACTATAAAATTGAATGATGTATCTTTTACAAAATGAAATTCTACATCAAAACATAAAACAGTAAAAGATGCTAATGTAATATCATTGAGAAAATATCATAAAGAATTATTATGTTTATCACGACGAACAACCATAAAGAATGGACTGATGTAAGAAAAAGAGAAAGACCCTTATATATATATATATATATATATATATATATATATATATATATATATATATATATATATATATATATATATATTCAATAGATTCCGACCTATGCAACTATAATGACTGTCATCATTACTACTGATTTGTATTAGATTTAAGAAAAAAACAAACTTTAACAAGATAATTTAATGAGCTTTATTATGGTATTTATTATCAACTATTGATCCATTTAGTGCATGAACTGGTTTCTCGTAGGCCTGAGTTAGAGAAAGACAGAGAGAAAAAAGTAAATATTGTTACGAATAAAATAAATTTGTTAACACATTATTGCATTTTAATAATTTACATTATGAACACTGTGTTGATTTTGATCATACTTAGTAGTGGAGTCAAGTGTCAGTATCAGTTATTTATCAATACCATTGGAAGTTGAATAGATAATCATATGAATTGAATTAAGTTCGAATACTAAACTATTAGATGTTCGTTAAGTGGTTTGAAGGTAAGGAGCTCGTTGTGAGATTTGAAGGTTTTGGGTTTGATTCCCACGGTGAGTTACTGAATGAGGACTAATGAGAAGTTACAAATCAATATGAGATCGCTTATCCACTACTACCTAGTTAATAATGTCTGTCTAACTAAAGTCAATCGGTGAAATTATAAGAATAAGTTCAACTTTTCACAATTCCGCTATCTAATAATATAATTTTGAGTTAAATCGATTACAATAGATTGTGTTAGATATAAAACATGTGAAAATAGTATAACTAGTCTAATTAGATCAGGTTCAGATACTCCGACTGGTCGTTCCAGTTTATAAGAAAGAAGAAATCTACTCTCATAAAAATCACAAACGAAATTATTTGATTGATATATTATCTAAATATTGTCTACAATATTAATTCGAACCTTATCTAGAGGTCATGAAGGACGAATTCTAGAAAGGCTTCCCGGCATCATATATGGGTGTGGAAAAACAGACCAAATATTCACCCTTAGTCATGTTAGGGAACATAGATATATTTTGTGAAGTTCCAAAGAAATCTTACTTTTTGGCCTTGAGACAGCAGTCAATTGTGTTTGTTGTGAGGTTATTTGGCAATGCCTGCCAGTAAAAGACATATCATAGACGTACATCAACCTTGTTTAGGCTCTCTACTCGAACACTACTGGTCACGTTAGAGCTTATGGGTAACCGTAAGTTGAATTATCAACCTTATTTGGTATTCGTCAAGGTTGTTCAATTTTCTCATTTTTGTTTAACTTCACCATAAAGATTCTTCTGCAAATAATACTCCAACCAGCTGACTTTCAAAGGGTCGGCCTTCTAACAGGATGGTACAATCCTGTTTGATGAAGACACTGACAAAATTCATTCTTCTGATAACTTTAAGTAACAGTGCAAGCATACTTGGGATGCACTCCTGATGAGAAATATTATTTAAAGATTGGTCTGTGTCAATCCTTAAGCTAACGAGAGGGACAGAGAAAGTAAAGTAGTTGAGCTTGTTGATCACTTCATTTATCTTGGAAGTCTCATCGGACTTTGTGTGTTGGCGTCTGACAAAATTTTGATATAAGTACTGAAACCTGTTTTAGGTTTGCCAAATTAAATTACTTGTGACGTACACAGGATATCTATCTACAAACCAAAGGACGACTTATATCGGCAGCAGTTCGTTTAGTTCTACTTTATGGATAAGAAATAAAACTATTAGGAAAAAAGAATTTTCGTAGATTAATAGCACTCAATCACAGATTTCTTCGAGGTATTGATCGTCTATGTCAAGACCATCGAGTAAGTAATACTGAGGTTATATACAAAGTACTTTATAAAGAGGACAAATCAATTAGAGGTAGTATACCTTCATTGAGAAGTAGTTAGGACGTATATTAAGAAAGTCCGTCTAGACTTGAAGAGAGATAGGGTATCCAGAACAAAACGAAAATCATTGACAATTCAAATTAGCCATATAGGTAAATAAGGCTATCTAATTGGTATCCTCATGACAACCGCGATTAGTGGTTAGGGACTTTGGGTGACAAGATTCAGAATCATTTGGAGTGTCACAGATGCATTTCTTCTTTATCTTCTTTTAGATCCTGGATCTCAAAATCCCTACAGACGTTTTTACACTTTAATTGCTGGTCTTCCTTACTACCACAATCACTATTACTACTTCTACTACTCTTGATAATACAACCTCGTTTTGATAATATTGTATGGCAGCTTGAATTGATGTATATTTGTGCAGGGTTGCATGGTGCACATGAACAAGTGAATAAATAGTGAAAGGTTGACGACACAATATAGTCAACTTGGGTACAAGGACAAACAATGACAAGAAAATCTGGCATGAGGGTCAATGACAAACAAGACCATCAGGGGATACTGGTATAAGGCTAGTGGAATAACTGAAAAAGATCACTTCTCAATGAACTAAGCTCTGACGATGTCATGAACAAAACAATGAAATCTCCACAAATAAATCATCTAGTTCAGAGAACTCATTCTATCTATACTTACTTTGTAATAAAATTTGGAAAATAAAAAAAGAAAAATCAATGCTGATGCCAAAATCCAGTAACTGAAAATTTTTGGATAATTACAATCGGTTATACTCAATGCATATGTTGAGTGAAAAATAACAATGATGAATTGGGTTATTTGAGCTGCAGTTAAGTATCTGTATAAAATACAAAAATATAAAGTCAGGAATTAATTAACCATTGCCACTACATTACATATAAAAATATCAGAAAATACTCTTACTCAAATTGTAAAACGTAGATGGTCAAACGAATCAGTCATGGCAGACAATACTTATTTTCCTAATCTTAAGTTAATGCGCCTGACATTTTTAGTCTTTTATTACGATCTCTATTTCTGTAGACATTGAATACATCAGCGTCTGTATGTTTTGTTGGCAAACGCATGACGCATGGTACATGTGGGTCAGACAATGAACATTGATTGTTATAGACCTTAAGTGATAGTAACAATGAGTCTACTGCCACTGAGATAATACGTAAAATCAGTAACGTTTTAATCAAGAACTCGAAAAAATTTTATATTGAATAATTCAAAAGCAATGATTTTCCGCATATGTACCACGGTAACCTCCATTACGCTTTAGTGTAAAGTGACTGGAGACTAAAATGTTTAAGAAATGTATGGAAAATTGAATACGCAACATTGATCTGAAACCTATGTATTCAGCGTTATTGTAAAGTAACAGTTCACGTCTTTGAAAGATACAAGCTGAAGTAAAATTTCTGATAAGTAAGGTAATAATATTGAATATTAGAAATGTTGTAGACAATATATTCCTTATTATATATTGAAAACCTACTTTTTCCACCATATATACTTTTGAAAACGAGGTCCAGCTGCAGCCAAACCATAGTAAGTATACATAAAGGCATGGACGATACAATTTAAAAATGCATGAAAAGTTCCTAAACCACCTGAAAGAAAAATAAAAATTTTTCTTGTTATATAGTGATGGATTGAGGAATTAATTTTAGGAAATGCATGGTAGTTTAATGGTCAATGTTATGTAGGCATTATGTAACCAGAATGTATTTTTAGGAACATAATAAACACTGTTAATTTATCTGATATCAGTCATTAAAAATTGAATGCATCTAAGTCGAACTTAAGGTGGATCAAACAACAGATCAACTTTAAATAACACCATATAAATTACGTAAGAACTACATTATGTGAATAATTATAATGGAAGCTAAGAAAATGAATAATGCTCACCTGGAACATACTTCACACCGTACCACCAGGAAATAGGCATGATTGCATGATGAAAAACATGAAGAAAGCTAACTAACTCAAATTTCTTTCGGAGGATAAACAATACGGTGTCAAATAACTCAATTATTTTGGAAATGAAAAAAACCCAGCAAGTACTAGCCATACGCATAGCAATCGGTTTTCTTGAATGATCAATAGATTGACAACCAAGCGAATATCCTGTAAACCATCCTGAAACAGCAAATTCGTACACTAGCCAACTCGAAAGCAGAACTAGAGAAATGTTGTAAACGATCATAAGTGGCCGTAGGTTAAACGGTGTTTGGTGCTTTTTCATAATTTTTGGACCCAACCAGAGAACAAAAGTTAGATACAGTAGAACAGTAACAAACACAGGTGTTGGATCTTTCATTAGTGGCCAGTTTTCAACTCGTGGATCAGCTGGAGGGAGGATATTAGCCATAATATCTGGTATCAAATAAGAAAAGTGATAACGAAATCAGGTAACGATAACGTCGGTCTTATCTATTTAGGCGTACATTCGCATCAGAGAAAAAGGCATTGTGGCGGAAAGAGAACAAGGAAGCGGTACAAAAAGATGGTTGTCGTATTTTAGGCTACTACACTAGGGAATTCAAACTGTTATTGAGGTGTTTACAATGAACGTAGACATTCTTTATTTCACTGAATTTACTGCAAATACCCAAGTGACACGAACAATTAACAGATACCTACACCTTAAGCTTGTCAGTACGGAGCGGTGAGTTCGAAAAGAGGTTTCAAAGCACTACTATGCACATCAAAAATTCGCAAGTCAATCCCGGACATCCATACAGTATGACTAAAAAACCCTTCAAGAAGCTGTTTTCAGGCATGTACACTCGTTTACACTACCAGAGCGTTTATATATCGTGTCAATCTCAAAGTAAGAAACATAAGTTACTTCCAAAAAAAGGTACACCAGAGTGATTGCGGTCGTAACAATCTTGAAACATCGCATTTCTAAAGTCATCGTCACTACATTTTATTCTCGGTTCTTTCCTTCTGCTACTAATCGTAATGGGTTAAAAATACCACATATTCATAAGCTTAAGCTAGCACACTTCATTTTAGAACGATGAAAGGAAATCATTCTGATGAAATTAATGAAGCCTCAGTAAAACCTCAAATAGTTTGCTTTATAATCATCGACAAAGAGTAGTAAAAGGAATTGCCCTTTAGTTATTCAGAATTTAGGTTTGTCAAAGTAATATTAGATATTCAAGTATCTAAAAATTGCAACAAACTCATTATTTATCCTCGGAACTTTGGTAAACTGCTGTATTCCCAAAATTTAGTGTTGATTATAATTAACTCTGAATCAGTAACCAATTACAAACGCTCTTGTTAATGACGATGTTCGTTGTAAAATCTCACACCTTAGACTTATTCTTGTACCTGGATATTTAACTCAACAACCACATACAATTTCAGGTACTTTGTTTCTGTGCACAAATTCTGTCTCTCTCAAAGCCGAAGAAAGAATAATCGGATTTAAATGTGTATTCCAGAGGTTCGAGTTATTTAACCATGACACAAAAACAATCAGCGAACATGACGGCGAGTCCTAAAACTTTCTACAGTCATCAAGATGTCGAAACAATCATCCCTATATTATAACGTTTAGTGCGGAGTTAGTATCAGCGCTATCAGTGCAATGCAACTGCATCATAATCTTAAGTAAGGACGTAATTGGTTGAAACACATTCTGTTATGCAGTTACTCTGGTTTTGTGAGGCAAAAACAAGCATTAGATCTAATAAGTGTTTTTTTTCGAAAGTAAAGATATTTTGTCTTTAGGTTTTGGAGATTGAATTTTATCGTGAACATTGCGTATTGAGCATCATTGAAAATATTTAGCTCCTAAAATTTCTGTACTTTGGGTCGAGTTATCGGCATAATTCCTACAAGACCAACAATGAAATATATTAGGTAATAAGAGTAATTCATTATGATGCTTGAGTTTTGTGTGCTGTGAACATGAAAAAGATGGGACATTACTTATACTGTGAAATCGTTAGCAGTATTTCGCGTGGCACTTACCTTATAAGTTGGACAGCACTGACCTCACACGATAAAAACTTTATATTTGAACAGATGTGTATTTCGGTACAACTGTGGTGAAGATTTAAAACAAATTACGTGTTCAGGAAGCTCTTTCTGATTTTTTGTGTATTGCTTATCTTTTTAAAGTCTCTAAAATGATTAAGTTTCGATCACCTTTTTTAAATGGATTTATTGTTTGTTCAGAGCGTTTCGTAAGAAACTATGTGATGCTTATACTCTTGCTGTTTTTCAGATTCATATCCTGGTTTGTGTATTAAATACAGAAGGCCTACATAGTGTGTTATTTATTTTTCTAGTATGCTTCTATGAGTGTCTAGTCTTCTCTTGAATGAGTCAACTGAATGTGCGGACACCCCTGTTTCGTTAACAGGTTCCAAGAATTGATGACTCGGTGCGAAAACTTGTATGCTACGGGTATTTTGTTCGTTCTTGGATTTTCTACCCGCCTGCTATGTCCTCCGAGATGTCTCGATCTAGTGGGAAGAAAAAGGGAGGATATATTACGTTCAAAATCATTTCTTATTATTCTATTCATCAAAACTAGATCACCTCTTAATCTGCGATAGGACAGAATAAAGAGGTTGTAGCAGTAACTAAGTCTTCAAACTAAATACCTCTGTAAGTTTTCGACATTAGATGCTAACCACCTAGCTGAGGGCGCTCGGTCATGCATCCGCCACAGATCACGAGTGGGAACGTCGCCCTCAACAACCCCTGCAATCGCTGGCCTAATTAGATCAGACAATCCTTGATATATTGATAGCCTATCAAATATATCTTCAAACCTCCTCACTTCTGTCTTTTGATTTCACTTGGTGGGTACGCTTCATATTAGGTGTTACTAGTTAAAGCGTTGTCAAACTCTGAATACCTGTGGCATCTTCAAGATCTAGCTTTTGGAGCCGCTTTTTGTATCGTAAACCCTGGACTTAGGAAATTGCGCAGTTATCTGCCCTCTGTACTTTTTCCAGGATATACGAGTCACCTTTTAAACAGGAGGTTGCAGCCCGAACGAAGTTCTTATGTTTAGTTCTCACTAAGCTTGTGCATACTGTAGTGAACTTGGTAGTATCTAACTTAGTGAATGTTGATCTGAAAGCTTAGAGGGTTCTAATCCCCTTAGTCTCGACCTCTAGTAGATGCGCCGTGGTCCTAAATAATGACTCACTGTCATCCCAAGATCCTTATGAGACCAGACTACGGGTAATGGCACTTCCCCTATGCTGTATTCATAAGGACTGAACTGCCAGTATTCGGTTTGAACGCAGGACTGACGAACCAAAATGTATTCGAATAGGCCAGACTACGTTCTTCTGTATAGCTTTGAGACACTCGTATTAAATTATATCAAAACACAAATTGTGTGCTCAATGTAAACAATTATAATTCAGGAAACAGAAAAAAATTATATCAAAAATAAAAATACCTCAAACGGTATAGCCTGTGCTGTACAGTCAGAAGTTTCTCAAACGCAATGCAGAGCGCTAAACAATAAAAGAAACAGTTAATACCAAAAGGTTCGACAACTGAGAATCAATAAAAATATTCCCAACAAGATGGGATCAAATATCTGTTTGCACGGATTCCAGCAATCCTCCCGAAACAGACATTCAAAAAGTTTACAGCCACACACTGAGACACGCCGTGACCTTGAGCTTGGTCAATCACGACCTACTGTTAATAGTCCGGTAACATGCAATAGAAAATTAGGTAACAAAAGAGAAGTCTTTAATCAAAATGATATAATAAGGGCTCAGACGAGGAATACTGAAGAACAAAAGGTATGGTTAAACAAGATGTGAACAAAGGTTAAAATATACGATAGGGAGAAAAAAGCAAATCAATGACAGTACTGTCCAACAAAAAAGCTGCCGAGGGATTTTCATTGTCCTTTTTTCGTTACAGCACCTATTAACTTTTGTATCCCCGAAGTGCATTAGACACACTTTGCGGCGTTGATATGCATCAGCGACCATTTATATCACTTGATCACATCATTTAAATCTGCCTGAAGTGCGCATGTATCTGTGTCTGCCGTTATTACTCACTAGATTTTACATAGTAGGCGTCTAATAACATTGGGTATTGTAACATACTTGGGAAATCATTTACATACAGTATAAAAGGTAAAGAACCTGAGATAGAACCTTAAGGTACCCAACTATGTACTGGTCTCCAGGTGGAGCGCTTGGAATTTTTTTCTTATTTTCCGTCTACGACAGCATTCACTGAGTTTCCACCGCCTAGCGTCTTTATCCAATGCTCCCTTGCTATTAAGCTTGTTGTGCGAGATAAACCCTTTCTGAAACCATGTTAAACGCAGTTTAACAAGTTGTTGATTTCCAAAAATTTCATTATGGTCCTTTCGACTATTCTTACCAATATTTTAACTACAATACTGGTGAGGTTGATAGGTCTGTATTTCGATGGAAGTTGTCTTGGTCTTGTTTTATGTATGTTAGTGGTGATTGCATGCTTCCAGCTGATAGTTAACACGCATTGGTCAAGTGACATTGAATGGCACTGTCAGTGGGGCTGCGATATATTGTGCAGTATATCTCAGGATTTTTGGATGTAGTTCATCCGGACCTGTTGAATTTTCTATGTCTAAGGTACTAAGAGTCCTAAGTTCATCGTCCTGATCAAAGTCCACGGTAAGCAGGGGGTTCGTTGACTTTGTATTTGGGTCTAAAAGAGGTTCCTGAATGAAAAATGCCCCAAAATATTTAGCCATAGCATCTGTTTTTCCATGATTTTCCTCTATCGTTTCAGATTCACTTCCTTCTTTAATTAGGTTAAGAATCCAGTGATGTTCTTGAGTCAACTTCCCAGTTTTCAGCCGATGCTGCAGAGTTGGTTGAAACCCTGTCCGCCTTCCATATGTTGGGACGGGCCGGCGCAATAGTTTGACAGGCCATCTCAGCCATGAGTTTGATTAATAAGACTGCATGATCGCTTCTTCCTCGAGGTCGAGAGAAAGTAATTTGACGGACGTCACCATTGTGTGTGAAGACTAAATCCGAGAAAGACGAGGAGCTTTATGAGTCATATCTGATGGGATCTCTAGTATGTTGGAATAAAGCTGGTGCAGTTGAGGTTTCTTAGAATTTGCAATCGAATGACGTTATCAATTACCTTACTTTTAAGTTTACCCAGTTTATATACGGTGCATTGAAGTTGCCTACTATAATGCTTCCACCCCAATTACACCGGAACTTAAGTTTGCTTAGGAGGAAGTCATCTATTACATATTCTAGACTGCTCTATACTACAACCCATTCAATATTTTGCCGTCTACATTTCAGCCTGAAACGCACTAGTTCAAATGTCCCTGAATCATGTGTCACTGTCTCAAAT